ATATGAACCCTAGAAAATGTAGAATCAAGCACTCAGGAGCTCAAACAAAGGTAATCCACCTTGAATCTTTAATTTCTTTGACTATATGAACCCTAAAAAATGTAGAATCAAAATCTTGGGTTTTTTTAGCTCATTGTGGAGAGAAAGTGAGAGATATGTGTTGTAATGTGTTGTTTAGTTCATGAGAATAGAAAAAGAATAAGGGTAAATGGAATTTGGAGGCATTAAGAGCTTCAAAATTGGTTGTTCATGGTTGTTGGAGTATTGATGACAATGGCAATCTTGTAATTACTTGAAGATGATGAGGGCGAGAGAGTAAATATGTTATTTTCGAAACCAAAAAAAAAAAAAATTGATGGCATTTTCGTGAATTATATGAACTTGTGGGGTGAATTGGACAAAATAAAGTTCCAAAAAAAAGGGAGGTTAGTTTTGTGGTTGACTTCAAGTTTCAGGTCAATTCTGCAAAAAACCCTACTTTTTTCTTGTTTTTTCAAATCCATATTACTTTATTTTCATCTCTTTATTATTTAATAATGTTATATTTTAAGAAAGCGTTTCAAATAATATTCATAATTTATACACAGTTTTATTATTATTTATATTTTTAAATATTTAATTAAAAATTACATTTTTAAGTAACAATAAAATATTTACCATTAAAAGTTCAAAATGAAAATTTAAAACCAGCTAAAATATTTTACCAATCGAACTTTAGATGACAATGGAACAAAGCAGGAAAGCGAAATATTATTAGGTACAAAAGGAATACGAGAAAAAAACAGATGCCTAGCGACTAGCGTAGGTTAATAAAGCTACATGCTCGCTTACTGCGTAGGTGGGACGCATGCACTTTATGTTTTTTTTACCAAGCTTGCACTTTGTGTTCGCGTAATATATTTTTGGGAAATTGCACCTACTGACTATGAAAAAAGTAAAAATTAACTAACTAACTAAAATCCTATCCTCTCTCCTCTTCTTTCTTCCTATCTCTCTCTAACTTCTCTCTAGAAAACTAATTATTCTTTTTTTTATGGTTATTTCACAAATAACCCCTATATTTTTTTGTGTGCTAATTTCTCATCTCGTGGGAGTGGGATAGTTATTCTTACTAAATTAAGACGGCCATCACTCAAGTATCTCCTCCGCACTGATGGCTGAAGCCTTTGCGGCTAGTTTCACCCGTCATGACGCTGCTGTGACTAACATTCAATCACTTACGGTCTTGTCTGACTCCCAAACCCTCATCTCTATGCTGAAAAAGGAGTCTAGGCCTGCGGTTTTTGGGATTATGTTCGACGTCTATCATTTTAGCAAGTTATTTGAAACTACAATGAAACCTCTATAAATTAATAATGTTGGGACTACACCAAAACTAAAAAAATTATTAATTTATAGAGATTATTAATTTATTGAGATATTAATTGAACTAAATATTCAATTTGGGACTATGAAATTATATTAATTTATAGAGATATTAATTTATAGATTATTAATTTAAAGAGGTTATACTGTATCTCTTTTGTTTATGTTCCTTGGTTGCAAAACTTAGAGGCTGATTATGTGGTTAAATCAGCACTCTCGCTACCAGTTATGTCCTCCTTGTATGGAGGGTGAACCTTTTTATGTTTGAATGAATTCAGGTGTTTGACCAAAAAAAAAATTAAGACGGCCATATTATATGAGGAGTTACAATAATAAACTTTTCATTTTCAAGGTTTATTTCCTTTTACAAAAATGTATGCAATGCGTCAGTTACCAAAATCTAATAAAAGTTTTTTTACCGGGGTCATAGTGTATCATGTTTGGATTATCCAAAGGTTCTATTTTTTGTTGCTGGCCTAAAGCAGTTGTAGATTGCTCGAATCAGATGTATCCCAACAATTTAATAGCATGTTTGGAAGACTGGCGCATTTTAGGCCTAATAATGACTTGCACTCAATCAGCTCTAGTGAAAAGAGGTGAACATCGACTAGACTTGCACCCTATGCATTCGTCTTAGCTAAGCTTGAAGAAGATGTAGTGATGGCTTCCATGGATAACAGGAACCGGAAGGGAAGCAGACCTCTTTGGTTTTCTCAATACAAACAACTAAATGATCAGTAAATATATTTTAAATCAATTTTAGGACCGAATGTCTATACATATTTGAACTATTTAAATTTTAGCGGCTAAATAATATGGCTGCTCTGTGCTGATCCGGACGGATCTGCATCTGTATATTGTGAGAACCCAAGATATCCGCGTGATAACAATTTATCATGAAGAGAAACATTTAATGAGAGCGCGATTACGTTTAAACATCACAGAAGGTTATTCTTTGCTGTTCTTAAATTCATTTTCCAAAACAAATGTACAGTTGTTTCAGAAAAGAAGAACAACAAACAACAACAATTTATGTACGAAATTTATTCACGCATTACCTTTCTTGTTTTTCATAACGTTTGTTTTTTTTTTAAAACTAGATTTCACACATATTTTTACTGCCAATCAATATCAATTTGAGACAGTGCTTATGATAATCGAATTGTTCTATGAAAACCGGGTAAGATTATATTGCCGCAAATATACAGTGCTCTAATGAAGGAAGGCTAGTTTCAGTTTGTACCTTCAAACTCAATTTGATGAAAAAACAAATGATCACCGTCTCGAACGACATCTAAATCATCAATCTCAGCATTCTCCGCATTGGTGATCTTTGTGAAGCTGCTTCCTCCAAACTTTGCACCTACACATTTTCCAAATTTTCTTGGTTAGGATTTTATTTCACAAGGGAGAGTTTTTTATCCCTTCATTTTGAGTTATTTCAGAGCTTACCCGCTAGACCTAGAAGCTCTTCTATGGATGTAGGTAAGAGGATCAACTTCCCGTTATGGCGCTGTGATAGATCCTTCTCTTGTGACAACATGTGAATAGTAACTCTCTTATCCTTTACTTTAGCTTGGATGCTGGAGCTACAACATTGGTCTGAATCCTTACTTCTTTGTTTAGTTTCGCTATTTGAGTTTCCTCCTTTTGCTTCTGTTAGAACCTTTGGTTCCTCTATGTTAATCCCTCGTTTAAATAGCTTCTTAACCATTTCAATATCTCCCTTGTGAATTGCATCCGTAAGAGCCTTTTCTCCATTTTCAGAATTCGAGTTTGAAACATCTGAACCTTTGCAATCTATTCTTGAATCCATCCACTCTTCCCATCCCATTCGTTGGAAATCTCTGTTTTCTTGATCATTGTTTGTAGCATCTATTCCTATTGATTGTTGTCCTCTAAGTTTCTGCAAGTTTTGTAACAAAACATGGGTTTGATTATTATTTTTTAAAAATATATATACATAAATTTCAAGAATATGGTTTTAGCTCACATACCATGAAGAGATTGTTCATTATAACTCGTCCATCTTCAGCATGAGCATGCATCGCGCTCATCAGCGATGTTCTGCTTATGCGTAGTATTTGAGATAACTCTGTTGTTCTCACTGTGAAAGGTTGTGGTCTATAGCATAAAACTCCAATCTCTCCAAACGTGTCTCCAATAACTGCTTTCCCTTGAATTTGATCATGACCATCAACATAAGATGCAAAGTCCTGTAACAATAAAACACAATGTTATAAGGTACATTTTTTTTTATTTCGACACCATTTAGTTACATTTCAATAGATATAATTTGCTCACCACAGCTCCTGAGACCAGAATGTAAAGATCAGTAGGCGCTTCGTTCTGTAGAATTATATCTTCTTTAGGTGGGAAATACTCAGCATCTATATCTGAAACCTTGAACAGTAAAAGTAACTTCATGAAACCTCTTAGAGATGCAACATTTATTAACTATAAATGGAAAGTTAGAGAATACAAGTAATACCAATTGAAAGAGAAAATCGCGAGAAACTCCTTGAAAAAGGTAAATGTTTTGAACAATGGGGAGGAAGAGATAGTTTGCAATGCTTGACCGAATTGCTTTTGGCAAATTGTTCAAGGTTTCTTGTTGTTTCAGGCCCTCTGTTTTGAACTTTAAGCAAATGTGTGAGAGCATTTGGTCTTGTATGTCATGTGGGAGTTGGTTTCTTGAAGCAAACTCTGAAGCAGCTCTCACTGTATCTCTCTGTTGAACAAAAAAAATGAGTATTTTGTCTAGTCTGAACTAATTGATATTGAAGATGATTATGGTTCATTTGATCATGTATTTAACTTTCAGTAGGTTGAACATTTAATTTGAGGGAGAGCAACATATGCATGTTCATTTCGGATCAGGCTACCCAACCCTACCACTACCAATTTAAACTAGAGACAAACTACCTAAGACTGTCATGTAATTCCACCCTCTACAATCAATTTTTATATTTTTCTTTATAAATTATATTTTTCAGAAAATAGTGGTTATTTTGCTCTCGTGTATTTCTTTAAAATAAAAATGTCATGTCTTCATCTATTTACAGAAAATGCTATTTTCTTCTGTTCTGTTTATATAATCTTTCACTTTAAAAATATACGCTCTCTCAAAACCATTTCTATTTTTGAGGAAAAATACATATATAAGTGTTTTAGAGAATAAATGAACTTAATAGAAATGATTTTTTAAAAATACAGATTATTTGGCTACTCGAATAACTTGTTTGGATTTATATTTTTCAAAAACAAAAAAAAATTAACTTAGTTTAAAAAAGAAAAAATTTCTAAACTATCTCAAATAGTAATTTTAATGCACTGATTACTCTATTCATATATTCGCTATACCCAACTTTTTGTTCTGAGATGAACCTACCTAAATAAAATTCAAAGGATCACACTTACAAAGCTTCTGGTTCGGCTAGTCCAGTGAACGACAAGGTTGGTCATATTGCCAATAAGGTAAGCAGTCAAACCAAGGTTGAACATCATGAAGAAAATGTCAAAGAGCATTTCTCTTGGATTCTCAGGATGCAAATCTCCATATCCAGTAGTCGTTAACGTCGTAATAGACCAGTAAAGAGCAGTCACATATCTATTCCAGAGACTTGCTTCCTTGAAATCTGGATACACAGCTCCGATCCATGTTTTTCTTGGTTCAGGATATCTATCTGCAATTAGGTAGTTGAAACATCCAGCACAATGTACAGCGAACAAAGTGACCTGAGATTGCAAAAATTCATAGGAGGTTACTATTATTACAAATGAAATATATGCTCGGACCAACGAAGAGTTGGCTTAGTGAGTAAAACTCTAAGCATGTTAGTATTGTTACAAATGAAATGCTTTTCTTTTTTGCTCTGCTTAGTGACTAAAACTCTTAGATCACCTCTCAGAGGGCTACGAGTCACATATTCAAATTTCGTTGGACGAATTTGCTCTCTATATGAGAATTAATTTAATATGACCTGTGCTTCGTTTTAGAAAAATATACATTCTTCGGACCCTAAACTCCTTAATCATTAAAAAAAAAAAAGAAGAACTTTTTAATCATTAATTTTAGTCAAAAAAAAAAAACTTCTTAATCATTAATTATTTTTTTTGCTCTGTCTGGAGACTTACGGAAATGAGCTTTGTGCATCGAATCCAGAAGTAGTTGAAACGTATATCTTTCTCAAGCCTGAAGTGAAGTAAAAGAGTAAGAGAAGTTGAGTTAACCCTCTCTTGACCAAACCCTAAGAAGAATATAGTCTTTATTAAGCATTGAAACAAAACCTTGCGAACAGCGAGCTAACTCTTCTGAGCCGCCATAATCTGAGCATGCTGAGAATTCTGAAGCCTAACTCGCTTCCATTGTAGTTGAACAAGAGGCTCAATGGCTGAAACGGTGCAGTGGAACACACATCGAAGGCGAACCAAGTAGAAAGGTATCTGAAAATGTTAAACAATTTCAAGAATCTGATTCACTTATAAAAAAAGTTTCAAGCTAAGTTTTTGTTTCTCACCTTATTGCTATTTTCTTGGGATTGTCTACTAGAAGATAAGAGTCACTATCGAGATATGCAACAAAGAAGGTGAGGACAATATCAATGGCGAAGAAGGCATTAATAATGTTGTCGATGATGAAAATCGCGTCTTTCTTGTAGGTGATGAAGGCAAATTGAAAGGGACAAATCCAAGCTGAGTATATAACTAGAAGGACAAGCCACATCTCCCATGCTCTGTAATGAAAAGAGAGTTCAGAAACAGAACATAATCTTGTTTAGTCAATATTTACATTAAAAAGATAGTTCAGAGAGGAGAAAGTTACCTATATTTTGAGTTGAAAGGAGAGATTATATGTTTACGGAGCTTAGTTGATTGGTTGATTCTAGCTCCAAGAGATGGCAAAAGATCAGCGGAGAGGAAACTACTATGTTTTATGGTGTCAATATTGTATTCCTCAACGCAGAATCTTTCAAAGAAGTTTCTAGTACAAGAGACTGGCATCTTGTTAATGTTTTTGATAAGAAAAAAAATGTTATGTGAAAGGCTGTTTCTTGCAGGTGAAGGCTTTTGTTGTTGGCAAGGTGGTAGTTTATAAATAGTGATGAAGCTTGTGATGCATGACACGAGAAAGTTTCTGTTATGACCTTTATAGCAACTTGCTCTGACCCAATTGCTTATTTTCTCTTTTTCTGAGAGATGGTCCAAAAGGGTTTAAATGCAACAAGCAACTATGGTGAGCAAGAAGCCGAAAAAAAAAAACGGAACAGGGTGGTGTGTGTAACAGAAAAAGCTTAAGAGATGAGACAGAATTTAAGTGGTAAACATTGAGTTTTTGTGGAAGAAATAATGCTCATGGTTTGTTTCTTTTGAAAGGAAACAGATTCGATATCCAACATAAAGAAGAAGAAGAGTAGACGCAATATGGTTTTTGGGAGATTTCTACTTGATGAGAGTTATGACTCTTGTGTGAAATACAGGTTCTCAGCATTTGATGGTGGGAGTGATATATAGACATACCACACACAGAGAAAGAAGGTATGTTTCGGTGTTTGGTGTGTGTTGATTGAAGGACAAAATGGCCATGAAAAATGATGGTGTGTTCATTTTGAGAATCAAGATATGGGACCAAGCAAGAAAATAAAGAAAGAAAATGGCATTTTGACAGAATATTGAAGGGCCAGAGTATATAGTTTTTTTTTCTTTCTTTCAGAATAACAACATTATTTTCTCTTCTTCTACTGTTCTTTGAAGTATATCTTCTCTTTTTTCCTCATCCTCAAATTAATCATTAGTCTACGGACTACGGCAATGTTCAGACATAGCATATTATTAGGGTAAAATAATACTGATTTTTGTGAGACTTCAACGACAAGAGTCAAAGTTTTAATATCTCACAAAAAATTGATTAAATAGTAAAAGTATAACCGATAACGAATGGAGTTAGTAACTCTAGCTATATCTGCTTAACTATAGTAAAAGTATGTTGAAATACTTTAGTTTCTCTTCTTATTTTGAGCCTTATATTTATAGTAAATTTTTCCCAAAAAAAAAAATTTTTAGTAAATAAACATTGTATTTTTTATCATTTTATGATAGGAAAATATTCATTTTGTATGCTGAGATATTAGAATATCTTATTTTCTCAGCATTAGTTTTCTTATGTTATATTACAAATTCTTCCGGGTCCGTACTCTTAACCAATGAAATTTTTCTTAGGTTAATTTATTCTTAGCACATATCATCTAACCAATTTATCAGAAATTATCCTTAGATTTGTATTTCCATATTATTAAGTTTTCAATTTAATTAATGCTAGAGAAAAAATGTTATATTTTTAGATTATAATCGTTCTTTTTCTCCTGGTATATTTTTTATAAAAAAACACTAGTTATTATCATTATGAAAAAACGGCCGTCTAATTGATTAGACTTATTACGAATTTTGACTAGGTTCAAAACATTTAGATGGTCGATTAACTTAAGGAAGCCACTAGATTCATAGCAGGTCTCCACGTGGTGAAGCCGAATCTAGCAAGTTATTTGTTGACTTTGGTTTACTCGAAGAACACACACAAACAGACACAAGATGGATTTTCCATGTTTGTCTCGTGGAGTAACGACACTTGATTAATCCTTCCTCACACCCCCGTCGGTAGGGTGGCCCCCCTCTCCTTCATGTTTTGATCTTGGTTACTTCTTTATTGAGATAACATACCTACCTTTCTTGATTCTTTTGGTGATAGCCTGTTAGGTTAATATGCTTTTTTAGTTTTACATAATTTCTAACTTTTCTCGATGGATGGACAAATCTTATGCTAGTTGGCCCATACAGTAGCCTGAGTAAAGCAGTTTCCTAAAATTTTGGAAGTCATAAAATATTTTAAAATAAATCTTGATAAAACGATCAGCAATCAAATGATGTCTACAAGGTAATTTGAGAGACTAAAGTTTCAAGCAAGGTCTTCTGCAAAGATGGCTCGGATCTCGTATACACCAGCCGTAGTGATTCTTTTAACTTTTTTTAGTTTTACACAATTAGTTTGTATATAAACTTCTCTGATGTCAATAAATTTAATATTTCATCAAAAAAAATTAATTTTTAAAGTTGGAGAACTAAATCTAATATTTATTAGGCTATACAAATTAGGGCAAATATCTCAAATAGTCTTTTTTTAAGTTTTTTATCACAAAAATAGTTCTCAAAAATTAAAATGACCAAAATAACACTTTTTATTTTAAAAATTTTAAGTTTTTTTTTTATTTTTTTAAATTCGAAACCCTATCTCTAAAACCCCATTCCTAAATTATAAACAAAAAATCTAGGATTAGTTAATAAAAGAGGTATAAATATATATTTAATAAAACATTTAAGTGTTATTCTGGTTATTTTAATTGTTAAGGTCTATATTTGTGATAAAAAAAATTTTAGGTCTATTTTAGTAATGGAACCAGGATATTCCAACAAATTTAGGCCATGGGACTTTGAGTTGCGAACCATTACATCACCACTCTTGATTTTTTTTCTTGCTAAAATGTTAATAACTAACGTTTATAAAAAAAATGTTATTACATAAACTCTAAACCTACCTTCACGAGAAGTATGAATTTAGCACAAGGGATATATTAAAATAATTTTTATATATCTTTTATTTGATCTAGATCTTAAACCCTGACATTTTTCAAACAAATTGCATATTCTAAAATTTAATAAAACGGAGGAAATATCATAAAATATTCAAAATGTTGAATTTTTTTTTTCTTTTTGGTAAAGAAATAGTTGCTAAAGTGTTTTCGAAATGGTTGTCTTTACTAAACTGCAACGATTAACTATATAATATCTAAGAAGAAAAAGAGAGACAAATGTATGAAGATAAATTAAAGACTTTTTTTCTATAATAAGAATGAGATTATGTCACTAAAGTTACAAAGGGTCTTTAGCCCTTAGGAAAATACTATAGCTTATAGAGAAGAAAATAAAAATACTTTCGTACACGAATATCGATTAGTTTGGTAATTCATTGACTAAACTTTTATTTTCGTTCGCAAGTACAACAATGGCAAGTATAAATTCTCCAAACCTTTCCGCCAAATTTGTTTTATTAAATCACTCCAAACCTTTTTTGTTTATGCGTCGATTTGAGCCCGTTCGAGTGTGTTTTCATGATTCCTTATTGAATTTTGTTTGGTGCCTTTTTCTGTGGTGCTAATTTGATTAACGTTATACTCCATTCTGCCATAGTATAATACAAACTAAAAACTTGAGACTTGATAGATACAATTTTAGGAGAAAAAACATGAGCTAAAACCTTCGTTTTTCTCTTTATTAGCTGTAAAAATTCTTTCTTTATATATTATATTTTTCGATATACTTGTTTTTAGAAACTTTACTTGAAGAATTAATTTGTGTAGTGATCAATTTTGAAAGTAAAATTAAAAATATGACTTTGATGTTGACGTTATTAGATTCATTACCACTTATTTAATTTTTTCCTGTTTTTATCTTACTTTTAAATAAGTTGCTGGAATACAAAACCTTTGAATTCCTACATATTTTACTCACATCTTATGACTGGAGAAGTACTTTCTCAGCTAAATCTTTGGTTAAAAATAGACTAACCAAAAGAGTGCAAAACGATCAATCTATTTCAGTATGAAATGATCCGTGGATTCCTACTCCTCGTCTGAGGTCAGCACAGTCAAAAACTCAAACCCAATTTTTAAACCTCCTTCTAAAGATGGAACATCTTATTGATCCGATCACTTTGACATGGAATGTTAATCTGCTGAATGCATATATACATCCAGATGACGTGAAAATCATCAGAGGTTTGGCAATTAGCCGACATCATAGATTTGATACTTATAACTGACTGTTCACAGAGACGGGTAAATACACGGTTAAATCAGGCTATAAAACAAAAACATTATACCTGGACAAGGAACAACAAGTAATTGCTTATCAGCCGGATATTAAACCTTTACTGGCTTTTACTTGGAAACTGAAGTATCCCCCAAAACTGAGACATTTTATCTGGCAGGTCTTAATGGGTACTATACCAGTGGCCAAAAACTGGAGAGCTCGTAGTATTGTGTGTGATCTCTGTTGCGGTATGTATGGTGTAGAAGGAGAATCCATAAATCATGTTCTCTTTAAATGCCTTTCAGCTTTGCAAGTGTGGGTTTTGTCAAAGATCCCATCTCCTCCAGGCATTTTTCCGTCTCCTTTGGTTTTTACTAATATGGATTATCTTTTTTGGAGACTCCCAAAGGAAGATGATTTTGATACCTTTTCTTGGATCTTGTGGTATATTTGGAAGAATAAGAACACGAAGAATTATAATAATAGGGATGGCAAACAGCAAGAGATACTTCGGATAGTGAATGTGCATGGTATAGTATAGGCTGAGGCTCAACTTTTGGTTCCCGAAAGGCACAATATCCTTTCCCCAACGTGGGATTGACAATCTCTAGAAGGTTTTAGGGTGTGTTTCATCTATGGGGCATGGAAGGAGAAATAAGTTTTCAGGACATGGTAGGTTTTGTAGGACCGTAGGGTCGAATGAGAAGATGATGGGGGCGATGAATCTCCGACGTAGTCTATCAGTTATATATGCAGAAAGTGAAGCTTTGATATGGGCGATGGAATGTATGAAGATCTTAATTTTTCAGACGTAGTATTTGCAACAGACTGTTCTCAATTGGTGAAGATGGTGTCGTCACCTAAAGAATGGCCAGCTTTCTCTACACACTTGGAGGAGTTCCAACGCAGTAAGAATTTCTTTCCCACCTTCAAGATCCGACATATTTCAAGAGCTCATAATTCAGTGACGGACAAGCTTGCACAAGGTGCTAGGAGTTCCCCTTCTGCTATGTTCTATGTCGACTATGTGTCTCCAGCTTGGTTAACTGAACCGGTAGCGCAAACATCATAGTTTAGTTATTATTGTTAAAAATAAAAGTTACCGGTTATAAAAAAACAAAACAAGCAATAACAAAGCTTTT